GATGCCTATTGCCTTGGCGAAGAGCCAGGGAGAAGTGTCCCCTACGACACCCCGCGGACATCGTCTTCAGGAGACACCGCTTTTCTGGGATCCGGTAGATTCCAGGAGAGATTTTGTCAGAAATTGAGAGTGCGTCTCCTTCTTCTCTTGGCTCAGTTTGAAAACAATCCGTAAATATGTTCGAATATAATATTAATATTATCCATGCACATGTTCAGTAATTACATCCTCTGTTTTTTTATCTAGAGACCCGGACTCCCAGCAGCGGACCATTGTACTGTGGTCAGCTGCTCCAGCTCTGTCGACGAGGTGCTGCGAACACTCTCTGTCGCGGCTTGATCCATTTCGTTGGTTTGTATCTTTGTATCCTTCAGTCCTGAAGAATCTAAACTTCCTGTGTTTCTCTCTTTTGGTCTCGAAGTGAAAGTGTACTGAAGAATCCAAACTTCCTGTGTTTGTGTCTTTGGTCTCAAAAGTGAAAGTGTCCTGAAGAATCTGAACTGAAACCAGGCTGTTTGGATCCAAGGGTATATTTTCAGACAGAATGTTCGTTTTTGTATCAAAGGAACATTCTATAGGCTTTGATCTTTGGATGACATCATGACATTCAGATGACATCACAGCATAAGATAAAAGGACTTAAAAAAAACGCAACATTCCGACATTAAAACAATTTAAAAATAAACACGCAAACTATTTGAAATTCTGATTCATAACAAAATGAATTAACTACTATTAATGGCTAGTAAGTTGAAGGATTTAGAATTCTGCATAGAATTAACTACGCTGAGTTTGTGGAATCAGTAAATTATGTTTATCTTGCATTAATGCATTTAATTAAGTGGTAGTAATAGATTCACTGAATTACTTTTAAGAGTGTATGTTTTTGCAATGTAGTCTGCAAAGTTTGCATGTTAGCATGTGGTTAGAAAGTGATATTTACAGTATACTTACTGTACTATTACTTGCAAAAATTTGGCAATGTGTGAGCACAAGGTAGCTAGCTAGCCAATTAACATGATGACAATTACCCAAAAATAAAACCAAATAACTACTACATCCACTATTTATGGACAGTATTTTATTTTTTATCACCCTAATGCAAAAATAACAGATAAAACAAGGTAAGTGTTTTACTTCCTCAGCATAAAGAACTCTCTGGAACAAAATCCTTGCATGAAGGTAACACTTCTGTCACTGTGAACATTATAATGTGGAACTGAACTCATACCTACCAAATCTCTTAATGGCTCTGTGAGTGTGTTTAGATTAACGTGTGTTTGCTGCCCTCCAGTGGTCATAATGAGGAACTACAACACTACAATAAATCTGTGGTTTATTACAAGGGTTCAAGGTTATTTTATTGTCATTTACAACACAAAGTCTGTATTTATAATTTAGATATAACTCCCTTTGTGCTACTTTCAAAAAAATACTAATTAGCCGTTTTAATTTTCACAGTCCGAAGGAAGAAGTTGTATTTAATTCAATTATTATGATTATATAAGTGTACAATATTAGTGTAATTATTACAAATCTGTTACTTTAGTATTCGTAAAGTGGCTACAAAGCAAGTTTCCTTAACGTGCTTTGTTTAGTGGTTAGTCACTAGGGGTTGCTCCTCTAGATTAACAGGTAAGGAGTTTCACATCTTCAGAAGTTTGATTCATAATCTGGATTGTTACAATATTGATTCAAAAAGTGAAATGATAATGTGTTGTTGTGTTCTGTGCAGACCTGAGAGATTTTATAATGTATTCCTGTGGGATAAATACAGAAAACAGAAAACAACGTGTGGAGATCTTCCTGAACATACTAAATACAGACATTAATCATTAATGGGTTAACCCGTTAGTGCCCAAGGACTATATTTAATGTGGCAAGGACAAACGCCATAACACTTGTTGCGATTGGTCTAAAGGCGGACAATACTCGTTTATACATGGTCAAAGTCAGGACTGTTGAAAAATGAGGGGGAAAATGTGTTTTTTTAACAGTGCATATGTGTGCATATATGTGATATTCAACTTGTTATGAGTTTATATATAATCAATAACTTGAATGTGCTCCTTGTAGTTTCTGAGATAAAGCCATTTTTTAAGAATAAGCAGTAAAGATGTAGGAACTGTATGACTCTGAGTACACACATGTGAGGGGCTCCTATCTATGTGTTCC